CGCACCCACGGTCGACCTCAGTCCCTGCATGATAGTCGTGTTATTATCGACCTACCCCATGGAGTTTAGATTGCGATTGTCGCTCATGTCGTGGTGCGCATACGCGATGCGTTGAACGGAACCGACAGTACCCAAGCAAGGGGCTAAGAAAGACAAGCCTCGGACTGGGGGTCTTGACAAGGCTTGTGTGCCGGATAACCTCCTTCTTGTTTTGGCCGTGGCGTTGCGATAACATGACCGATGACCCCACCTGAGTGGTTGTGACAGGTTGTGACGTGTGGATCTTGTTCTGTGCGCGCTCGTTAGCACCGGGCTAGGGCCGCCCACTTGGGTTGGCGTTATAACCGGACCACTGCCTCGGCCACAGTTCATGCAAGGCACATACGAGCACCTTCCGGTAACAACGTAGTATTGGTCTCTAGAGCATGTCATCTGCATTCGAGATCTCCCTGGATCGTTTGGTAATTGCGAGCAATCTGGGTTTCTGTGATCTTCGCCGCCACCTGCATCCTGGAAAGAACCGTAACTGAGATCGTCACAAATGTCGGGCGGATAAACACCAGACTAATCTTGCGAACGGCCCGCCTATGAGAGCCGAACTCCCTGGGACATACATCAAGACATCGGTCGTAGCCTTCCATTGACTCTATCGTTACTTCCAGAGACTTGCCAGTCTAAAACCTCCAGCATATCGTACCGATGTGTATGCTGCCGATAAGCGACATGTTTGACTAGTAGCTTTGTTCGCCAAGTTCAGCGGGACGCTTAGCATCCTCGTACCTGATTCTCAGTGTCCTCTACTCATAGCTCAGCTCGTCATTGTTCCAGCAGAGCTCGAAGCCGTTTGCGCGGTACCACTCGATACGAGTGGCTTCGAGTTCGAGTATAGCCTCCACTTGCTCCTGAGAGTAGTCAAGAAGAACCCTGGTGAGTGCTACCACAGTGACCTCAAGGTAGGGATATCCGCTCGAACGTCTTTGCCCACCGATAGTTCGCCTCAGTGTCTCTCGCAATCTATCTGGCATATGTTCATTCGGCTTGGGGTTCATTGTCAGCTTATAATGCAGATATGACAGCTTCTTGTTGATAAGCTCATGTCGCCGATGTTCGATCTCATCTACCGCTAGTTAGAACCCTACATGTGTTTCAGAGCAACATCGTTAACTTACCTGACAAAGATTGGGGTATGGGAAGTCCCAAGGTGCGTAGTTTGCTCTCGTTGCAGTAAAAAGTCATGATCTCAACAAGAAGAGCGACACAATCCTTACTCCCGAAGAGATAGAAAACCCAAAGCAGCAGTATCGACTCGCGGCAGTATTCACCCTCCATTTTATCACCATAGATTTTGTTCATCCAGACCGAGGTGAAGAATTCCACCGCACTGGCGCAGTTGTAATAGTCGATGAGAATTCCCAGCTTCGCCATTAGTTCGAGGCTCACAGTCTTCGGGATCTGAGGGCTGCGTAGGTGTAGCATGTTCATGAAGAGGAGGAATGCTTCCTCCTCCCAATCGTCTGCTGTGATATGGTAACGACCATCGGCCTGCTTGCATCCCTCACTCCAGGTACCAGGTGAGAGCGCTGCTTTGAAGACCGGTGACGCCAGTTCGAGATGGCGTGACGAGACAAGATAAAGGACAGATCCCTCAGGAACATTCAGGATTACCCAATCCAACTCCTTTGTGATGAATGCCCTCGCAGGCGACTGGTGAACTTCGATATCGTCCGAGATCGACATCTTTGTGTCCCACTCTTTCATGCTGAAAGGGAGTTGATCAAGTATGTCAAGGTTGTCGAACGGTGAATCATCCCACCAAGCGAAGTATTCACCATCACCCGGTGATCGTAAGATTATGACTGTATCCGCGTCTGGGTCGATCTCATGTACAACTGGAGCCACACTCGGATGTTGTGGGTGAACCAGGTTGAGTGGTTGTGATTTGATGTTGAGCAGGAAGATCCGGTCGTATGAACCTGTAAGCCATTGTGCATACAATTAGTGAGGTCGTCCAGTGTTTTTCCTCTTCTTTCGATGAAACGCAAATGCACAGACGATTGCAAGTGGTTAGTAACGGGTGAATGGAAATGTAGTAGTGCTGGGAATCTACTGCCCACCGAGACGCTTCAACACACATCGAGGATGCATTGTCGCTTTCATCAATGCCAATCTTACTCTACGCGTGGTCGTGATAACGCCAGGTAGATCGTGCGCTTTCGCGAGGTGGAGGTGTAGCATACTGATCGCGTGGGGAAGGATCATGGCGCGTGAGAGGCGCGAGCCGCATGATGACGCAGACGCCACTGGGAGCGCTCGCTTCTGTCATCGTATCGTATTGTGCGTAGTATGGTGTGATCAGTCTAAAAAAGCAACGCGATGCTCGAATCAATGAGGGAGGTGTTGGAGGCTGCGTCGTGTTTTGGAGCTTGAGGCGCGATTCAATTAAGTGGAGCCTTGTCCAAGTCTGCACTAGCGCGAAGCGCGGCCCCGGGGATTTCCCGAAGTCGCCGCTGCAGTGTGAGCAGCCCATTTGCTCCTTTCTTCCTTGACACTCCCCATGCTGTTCACATCACCGTGCACGCCATTGCTACGACGAGCTGGGCTACAGCTAGACCAGCGCCTATGGCTCCTATCCTCGTCGCCCCTCGGCCATGCGCCGCCGTGTATCGTCTATTCAGTCTTTGGCCCATCTGATACGTAAGCGCGTCACGTTCTTTCTCCAGCTGTTCTAACCTGAGCGACATGTAGCTTTGCGAGGTTTGCAGTGTATTTGCTGAAGAAAAGCCTGCACTTGAGGCTTCGTACCCGACTTCGGTTGAAGTAGTTTGGTCAGGACTTCTGACTTCCTGCTGGATGCGCTCGTTCTCCAACTGCCGCTCGATACGTTGCACGTTTGCCAGGATAATACCATCGTCTCGTGCAAGATTATTGTCCCATATCATACGGATATCGCTGAGCTCCACTTTCGTACGCTCAATGTCCTCGTCCACGGACCGCATATTCCCAGCCATCTCGGTAATCGCATCTTCAAGCTCGTGCAACTCGTCTCTCCGGGAATTATGAGCCATCATGGCTAAGCTTCCACGCGCATCGTCTATCTTGGCTTGCAATGTCTCGAATGATTCTGTCAGATCCTCAAACAAGACTTGACCGGCCTGCGTCTCATGGATGAGCCGATTCTCATCTACCAACTCTCGCTGGAACGCCAGTGTTAGCCTCCTGCTTTTTCCCACGATGTGTTGCAGTATTTTTCCTGCATCTATCTCTACAGCTGATAGCCTGACTAGTTTACCGCCGTGCTGTATAACATCTTGGATCTTCTCGCGGAGTTCCTCGTGTCGCAGTTCGGCTCTTACGAGCTCGTCTTTGGTAGCTCTATCCCACATGGTAGTTGCCACGACTACTCCACAGAATGCTTCTTCTCCGCACATATTCTTAAAGGCACTCAGCCCACGCACTGCAGAGCCTTGGAAGCGATTGTCTGTGATGCGATGGAGGTAAATGATTCCGCTGAGTTTGATCTTTCTTTCGTAAGCGGCTGCTAACCAGTATGCCAGTTCCTGTAACGTTTCTCCATCGGATCGCCGACTATCGTTGAAGCCGGGCGTGTCTATCAGATGCACAGTCTTCCCGAGTACGCTAGTCGTGTGTATCGATACCTGGCTCGTACCTGTTGGTTGGAATCAACGACCGGTCAGACTTCAGGGCCGCCGAGACGCCTACATGATGAGAGTCCATGCCCGGAAAGACGTTCTAAAGAATTGGTACAATGCTCGATGAAAGTAGATTTGCCAGCACCAGTCATACCCATGACTGCGATGAAAAGGTCATCGGGGCTGCCAGGCCCAGTCAGTTCTGCGTCAGTAGAACCAAGATTTACCTACTCAACTGGTTTCGAGCCTTCAAGATTCACAGTCTCCATTGTGGAAACGATGGGTGACTGTACCAAGTCGCAAATCAGTGTGTACAGTTGGGTCTGGATATTATCCTGTGTTCACGTTACGATAGCTTGGTTACTCCGCAGCAGCTCTCGGTGCGGCTAAAGGCACTCCTGCGGCAAGGTTGTACAGCCCACCTTCCTACCGCATGAAAACCACCAATCAGCAACGCACACGTCAAATCTACCGCAATCGCTGTGCTGCAGGCAGTCCTCAAGTACGCCTCTGCGCCTAGGTACAGTCCGTGCGCGATTCCGCCTGCAGGCCGCATAATAGCGCCAGCTAAGGTCAGCATCCCAACTGGAGTGTGCAGCACTGTAGCCTGCCCTTCTTGGCAGCTTTGTATGCGCTTGCGTCTGCTGTCATCGCATTGCCTCATTGTAACGCGACTTCTTATTACGAAAACCGTACCAGTGTAATGTGCGCAGTATGAGCACTTTCAACATCTCGCCGACCAGAAGGGGAAGTCACGATGCGCTGGAGCCGATCCGCTCACATGGAAGTTCATCCAACACATTTCCTCCTACAGCTCTTACAGTTACGCGGTTCAACCAGAATGCGCCGTCTTCTCGGTATGAACTGAACATCTGCACGGTTTCGTTATCTGATCTGTCGACAGAGCGATTGGCATTCTTGTCATGGGCCTCACTGGCGCTGGAAAAAGCACATTCATTTCCCAAGTCACACAGAAGAGCGCAGACATCGGGCATTCGCTAAAGTCATGTATGTTTGTCTTGACTACTCGGAACATCCACCTAATGAGTTTAAGGTACCACTGATGTCGTGTTCCAGACATTGCAGCGAAAGAACGGCCAAATAGTATATCTCATCGATACGCCAGGCTTTGACGACACTCATTTGGAATACGCAGCAGTGTTCCGAAAGATTGCTTCATTCATCTGTACCTACTGCGATGGCTATGGGCGTAGCATTCCAATCGGAGGAATGATCTATGTGCAGCGAATAACAGACATGAGAATGTCGGGATCTTCACTCAAGAGCCTCCGGATTTTTGAGAAGATTTGCGGCGAGCGACACTTTCAGGACGTTGTGATTGTCACAACGATGTGGAACTCGCTGAAGACGAAGGAAGCGCATGATGCCGCAACGATGCGTGAAAAGATGATGGGAGAAAGACCCGAGTTCTTTGGGAATATGATGCGAAATGAAGCTAGAATGGAGCGATACCAAGGCGATACCTATAGCGGCATCCGGATCGTCGAACTATTGGCAGAGAGACGGAGAATAATCACTCTGCAATTGCAGCGCGAGATGGGACGAAGCGTAGCAACGAAGCTCGAAGACACGACAGCGGGAAGATATATCGACGGTGAACTGGCCAATGCACGCGAGAAGTACGAGACGCAAAAGCGGGAGCTAGAGGAATGTGCAGAGGAGGCTGAAGATGATGAGGACCTAAGAAGCGAGTTCTTCGAGCAAGCTGAAGACTTCACTCGCCTGGTCGACAACATCGTAACTGATCAAAAGAGTCTTTCCGTCACACTCGAAGACATGCGAAATGAGCAGGTGGCATCGTGTAGCATAGGTCGCAACGATCAGGCGGAGGATACCTTGCATGAGAACAACTCCGCGCGCATCTTCGAGCTTGAGTATGAGGTTCAAGGGCTGAAAAGAGTGATAGAAGAGCAGCGTGTAGAAGGACTCCTGGCACAACGTGAAGGCATCGAACGAATCGACGCCGCCAGGCAGGAGATAGCAGAAGCCAAAGAACGAGATCAAGTTGTGCGAGAGAAAACAAAGGAAAGGCGGCCAAAAGAGGTCATTACGTGGATGCGAGAGTTCTTAGCTGGAAGACCCGCTGGAGATATTGTACCACCACCACGTCGAGCCGAATCCATGCCCATAGATCCAAAGGGCTCTAAGAAGCCTGGTTCAAAAGCCTGGAAGCGGAGCCGGTCAAAGGGTCGTCAGAGTGGTAGACCGGATATCAAGCGCACATCCTCGGATGATCACCCAAAACAGTCCTCCACTACTCCGCAATACCTCCAGGATCAACAGACCGACGAGCCTGGCTCCCTCGATGTATCAGAAAACGAGTATGAGAGCGATGTGGAAGACTCGTCGTCTCCAATGTATACGCTGTATCACACTCATTCGTATACGCCTGTGGCCCCGTACGCACATAACAGTTGCTATCACGTCTTGCCTCACGATGTGTCCAGCGATCCTACTGGGATGGTGCGCGTCCCACCACCACAGCCTCAGCCTCTGATGCGAAGGATTCCACATTCTGCTGGGCCGCCATACGGCCATCATGTTCTCAGAGCCCCTTCACATAACACTGACTCAACCGGCGATTCCAATTACCGTTGATAGAGGAGACAGGTTGAATCTAGCTCTGATTAACTTCTCTCATGTATCCATCAGTTTACGGCGAGTATACTTCCACTCCATGGCAAGCTTAGTCATGAGGAATGTATCGTATAGCCATCGCTAGGCTTGCAATGACGTGGGGTCTCCATAGCTGCATCCGCGTGAACCTTCAGACATTCATATCTTCTTATCTCCAGATACTATCTAGTGTGGCACAGTCCATACCAGCTCAGCGCGTGGCTGCAGAGACGTTCAGTAAAACCAGCTGTGTCATGACACTTGGGCTGCATGCACTGCCCCGCGACGAGATGCGCCGAAGTCAAAACTTGGGGGCTCGACGGAGCTGAGAACTTTCCGGTGAACCGCAAGGGACGACTGCAATATGGGTATTCTACAATGGAGGGGCAGGCACGACGTTGGTTCGTCGGCAGTTAGCCTATTAGCCGCCGTGGTGCGCTGTCAATACATCACTAAGCCGGGGGCTTGCATACGAAAGCAACGCCGTACATCGAGGCGCAAGACTGCTCCTAGCGTCATGTGAGGCTATGCATGAACCTGTAGTTCCCTTCCAGGATGCTCTCTTAGAAGCAGTTGCCTTGTCGCCTTGTCGGCTATGCTGCAGCATCCACCCCAGGAATGAGAAGCTTTGATCGTTCGGCTTGGATAACTAGAACCCGACAAATCTTTTGCCCTCCATCCGTAATTGCGAAGAATTAACGAGAAGTATGACGAACAGAGTGGATAGCCCTCATCGTGAGGTACCTCCTCTGCCAGAATTGACGTACGAGCCTATCAACCTTCTGACGACTATTTGCTGACTTTATTGCGAAGGCCCGACGATGTAATCATTGCAGTGATGGGCATCACTGGCTGCGGGAAAACAACTTTCGTCAATCTCTTCTCTGATCGCAAACTCGAGGTCGGACATGGACTGGACTCATGTGAGAGCCATGGCTCACTTCCTATCTATCAAGGACTGAATAATCATAGGCACAGTATCCGTCCAAGTCGTGCCATGTACGTTTGAGGATGGCACGAAGGTCTATCTCGTCGATACCCCCGGTTTTGACGACACCTATCGGTCCGACTCCGAAATCCTGCGTGAAGTCGCGCTCTGGCTGAATAAGGCGCACACGGAAAAGCTGCGACTGGCTGGCATCATCTTCCTCCAACGAATCTCAGATGTCCGAGTAGGCAATAGCGGAGTTAAGAACATCACAATGTTCCAAAAGCTGTGTGGCGACGGCCCGCTGTCGAGCGTGGTATTAGCGACGACAATGTGGGACATGGCCTCGCCCAATGCTGCAATCGAACGCGAGAGAGAATTACAAGAACAACCACAATACTGGAAACGAATGATAGACTACGGGAGCTGCGTAATGCGTCACGACAAAGGAAAGTCGTCAGCGCTCGAAATCATCAAATACCTAATGAAGCGAAAGAAGCCCGTAACACTCGACATTCAACACGAGATGGTGGACCAGAATCTCGAACTAGTCGACACAGGCGCTGGAGGCGCCCTAGCATCAAGTGTAGAGGGGCTCATCAAACACTACGAGAGGAAGCTAAAAGAGCTGGAACAAGAGCTCAGGGAAGCACACGCCCAAAGCAACAAAGAGGACCGCGAGATTTTGGAAGCAGATAAAAAACAATACCAAGACAATCTCGCGAAGCAACAGCAGGAAATGCAGAATCTACAGGTTAGTGCGGCGCAGCTGATAGAGGATACTAAGAAGCGGTTTGAAGAGAGCGAGGTGTCGGCTAGGGAGAATATGCTACGAGCTCAGGCGAATCATGCCGCAGAGCTCGAGAAGCAGAGGGTGGTGTTGCAGAGACAGTTCAAGGAGAAGTATCTGCAGATGATGCATGAGCGGGCGTGTAATGTAATGTAGCGGAATATAATGTAACACCATCTTTAGAAATGAGTGCAGATATGGAATGTGTGCATGGCCATGCGTCCTGATCTTAGTATGTCCGCCTCCCACAACGATAGACACAAAGCTACGTAAGTACGTAACTAGTATACTAAGCTGACCACTACTAGAATAACGACGATGATTATACACCAGATCACAACCACGAACAACGACAGTCCTTCATCCATCCCCTCCCTTCTCACCCTTTCACTCTCAACTCTATCTCTCCACCTCGCAAACCACCATTCATGCTGTCTATCACTGCTTTTATCTCTCTCCAATCCCTGTAAGCCACATACAAAACCACCATATTCGACGTCATCTTCGCCCGTGTCATCCTCTTCCCTACCTTTTGTACGCCCAATTTCACTGCCATCGCTATCCCCATCCCAATCCCCGCGATGATCAAAACACCACAACTCCACCACCCAGCCAGGTCGCACCCGGGCATCCCAGTCTCCACTCGTAATCTGCATATCTTCGATGACATCCCAGAGTGCGTCGACGATGATGCTGTCGAGTGCCAGTTTGTGTAATAGGGTGTTGATATTGGTCCATCTGGAGTAGGAGGTGTAGGGGACATGTTTGGTGAGGATACTGTCTTCGAAGATGAAGGTCAAAGTGATTGATGTTGGTAGTGATGGAAGTCCAACGTCTTGCCCTAGCAGGTGGAGCTCAACTCCGGAGTCGACGCGAGAAGGTGTTGTTTTAGGATCATATTTCTTGTCGGCTTCCTTTTTCGATATGCCGCAGACGAGACAGCATAGTATCCAGTCTATGAGACGATTATACCAGTCGACATAGGTGGTCTGTGTCGAGCTAGATTTGGTGGCCGAGTAATGAACTTTATATCCGGTATCGTTCCCGGAGCAGGCTTCTGCGCTTGTCTTTTTTCTAGCATCGCTTTCTTCGTTTGATATCTGCATTCAGTATGGGGCGCGATCGTGCATTCATATTCGAATCTAACTTTCCGGCGCCCGTGTCTTCCCTTCATAACTCCTACCGCCCCGCCACCCAGCTCTACTCCTCTGATAGCAAGATTCTAGTCGAACGACCACATGTCCTGAACAAAGAGTATTACTCGCCATCCCTGATTCTCCCGCTGCCTCTCGCACAAGCACTCAAAAACACATGGGATGGGTACAAGCGCCGTGTACCTCACGGCTCTCCCATATTACTCATGGAGATCAAAGGTGTATATGAATCGAACGATGCGGAAGCGTAGCACCAACCCCACGAATACTACAATTATGCATAAGATGACAGGCTTTGATGATGCTGAGTATGTGATACCAAACCCACATTATCCATAACCGCCCCGTATGAACAAAGGATGACTTCATCACACTCTCACGGAACGCGCTTTCCGTGTTACACCCGCGGCACCGGGGAAGGAAGGGGAAAGGCGGCGACGGGACGAACTCTCCACTCCCTTCCAAGGATTTTGCACATGTTAGGAAGGGAGGCTAAGAGCACACCTTCCATGGAATGAATGTATAATAAGAATTTGGAGTCATTTCTACATCCTAACTACATCGCTTCGTCTTCGTCTAAAAACGACCGTGGAACACATCAACACTAAACCGTGCTACTACGTAAACACAAACATCGAGGATATCTATCCATCCTAAACGCCAATCGCTATCCCTAGATCATCAAAAAAAGAAGCTCGTACAACCGAAAACATCATCATCAAATCACTCCCTCTCCTTCTCTTTCCCCTTCCCATTCCCCAGCGGACTCATCCCCGCACCACTCCCCAACCTCGCACTCCTAATACTCGTCTGCCTCGCCAAACTACTCTGACTAGCCTTCCCCCTAACCTTCAAGCTCTTAATAGAATTCGAGGGACTGGGTCTAGGACTCATCCTAGGTGTACTCCTACCACTCATCTGTTCAAACCTCCCCGCGAGATCTTTCACGCGCGTAGGCGACATGTTGGCATCATCCCCAGCATCCCGTGGAGGAACATCACTCAATATGCTCGCGCCATCGATATCCGCATTAACGACTCTGAGCTTGCTTTTTGGAACTGTGAACATGACCTGTACGACGCGGCGCTCAACTGCGGCTTCGACGTCCCAGTCCGCTTCGCTGGCGGGGGTGCAGGGACGGTCTCTTTCATCTCCTCGGTCGTGTGAAGGTGGTACGCCTAGTTGGTCTGGGGAGATGGGTGTACGTGGGGTAGGTAATCTCTCCTCGCTGTTGATCGTAACGAGGAGGTTGCTGCCACGTTCGCGCCACTCTTGACGCGCGCGTTCACGCTCGAGTATGGCAATGTCTTCGGGCGCGCCCCAGTCGTCGCCTGCGGTACGGCGCCAGGCGGGGTCTTGTTCTTCTTCGAGCCAGTCTTGCTTGCCGCGGCGGTTGCGCCAGAAGCTTGCGTCTGAGGCGGCGCGTTGGGGTGTCGAATTTGTAGTCGCTGGAGCAGGCAAGGATTTTCTGTTGATGGAGCGGGGAGAGGGGTCGACGGGAGAGGTGGGATCGTCTCTGTAGGGCTCGTGGTAAGTTGGTGCTGTTGTGAGGGAGCGCGTGCGTTCGGCGCTTGAGACGGAGCGTGTCAATACTCTGCGGACGCTGCCTAGCCAGCTCATTCTGCGCTCTCTGGTTGCAGGACGAGGGGCTGATGATAGGTCTAGTGCGAAGGATGTTGCTGGCGTGGCTGTGGCTGCGCGACTGTTGCTGCGGTCCGAGTCGCGGTGAGTCGTTGAACCGGATGAACTGGTGTCGGGTCTTGATCGCTCTGGGTTTCCACCGAGAAGTACCTCGCCTTCTGCTTGTAGACGGGAGAATGATGATTGTGCGGTGCGGAATGAGTCAACATCCTGCTCTCCTTGCAGGCTACTGAAGGACTGCGTGCGCGGGTCTTCTGGTGAATGTCGGCCAGGCTTGTCATGAGTGGGACTTGTATCAGGCGTTTTGAATGGGTTGGCACGCATGGCTGTGTTCAACATAGGACCCGAACGCATAGATGCACTGCGCCCAACGCCGCCATTAGATGAAGTCCATGACAGCGTACTCCTCTCGCTGAGGTTCGAGCTTGTACGTTCCGAAGTAGACTTGTCAGGCGATAGTCTTCCAGCTGAATTGGTGTTAACCTCATAGCTCTGGTGTTGAGGCGACGGAGACGCTGAATGAAGAGCATTCCTGTTGCGTCCAGGAGATTCGGTGAAGGGGTCCAGAACAGGAGCGTTGTCAAGGATTGCCGACCCAGATCTTTGTCGTGTCTCTGCCATCTCCTGATGCCTGCCCGGTGTGTTGTTGTCGTGCGCTGACTCCTCATCAGGTTCCTCTTCCAACTCATCGATAGGATGTATGCTTCCTGGACCTCGGGGCCTGCCCATGGCGTACTGAGGTCTACCGCTCAAGTTGCGTCGGAGTCCACGCGTCGGACTTGGGACCTCGACGAGTAGTCCAGTTCTTTCCACATCGCCCCGGGTGGTGGCCTTCCATCCTTGTCCACCCTGCGTACCGGCTGGGAAGTAGTAAGGTCCGTTCTGATCGGTAATATAGTCCAGAGCATCCGAGTTTCCGCCGCGGCCATCAAAGCTTTGAGGGTAGTCTTCGGCATTGTATCTGTGAGTAGTGTAGGAGATCTCTTGCAGTTGCTTTTCGCGGAACTCCCTTCGCTTCTTCATACGCCTAGCATACCACATGTAGAGCGCGAACACTCCACATATCGCAGCCAAACCGATACCAACACCGACACCCAAGCCAGCCTTTTGTCCAGTCGTAGACAACAGGCCCCTACTGGCAGACTCTGACGGCGAGTCTTTGACCGGGGGAGTATAATCCGAGATCCAGGTATTCGATGTGACGTTAAGGAAGTAGGTCTGCGTGTTTGCTGCTGGCGCAACCTCTCTTCGCCGTGTGCCGGATGATGAAATAGAATAGCCCCCGGTAATCATCAGTACACCTCCTGGGAGCATGGCCGCTCCATGGCCATAGAGACCACCGTCATTCGGCAGTCCGGTACCAGTAGTAGATGGAACTACCCACTCCCAGTCACCAGCACCACCATAACCATCTGCGACGCTCAGTATGGCGAACTGAGGGTCTGCCGGTGTATTGATGTCGCCCACCCAACCCCCGACTACAATGATCTGCTGGCCATCCGGACTCAGCACAGCGGTATGACCGGAACGAGGATCGATCGAGGTGACGTCTGCTCGAATAGCTAGGTCTGTACGGGAAGTGTCAGGTTGGTCGACGCCGATAAAGGTCCAGCCCTGTTCCGGAAGGGAAAAGAGCGCAATCTGTGACATGTTGATAAAGGCAGCACTGGTGTGGCCTCCGATGAGGACAAAGTTTTGCTGTTGTATCTGTGTGCCATCGCTTCGATCGGAGAACGTAGGCGAAAGACCAGTGATGGTAAATCCAGCTTCGGGTATAGGCGGTCCGCGGCTGGACGAGACGTCGATGTCGTAGTTGAGTGGCTTACTCGTATCCTCCGATGGTTGTACGGTGACCATGAAGTTGGAGTAGTTGGCTGCAGATTGCCAGTCGCTCGCAGTCTCGTTCTGATCAGGGCACATGCCACCGAAGAAGTATGCGCCGGTATTCGCAGCCTTTCCTCCGACGATAGACGAGAACGTCATGCCACCGCTGAGGTAGTTCGCGCCCATGATGGACGTATGCGAACTGTCGACCACCGAAACATCCTGCTTGCTCCAACTGCCCTTGACGACATTCTCTGAAGTATCCGGTACAAAACTCCACAACTCCCCACCACTTGCACCCAGAGTGCAGTCGCCAGTGTACACCGTCAGGTTGCCGTCGTGGTCGAGAACCGGGGTGAAGGCGCGCGGGGCATTGTCGTCGAGGAAGGGCAACGTTGCGTAAAGTGTGTTGTAGGGCAGGTTCGACGCTTTGACTTGGGACGATAGATCGATGGTGCTCAGGGCGAACTGCGTGGACGATTGCGACGACGGGCGGAAGACGTAGAGGGTATCATTGTTTTGAAGGAGACGTGTCGGGTTGTATGGCATCTGGGCGGCGACGGCAGACAGCAGTAGCGAAGTCGATAATAATGGTAGCCATTGCATCCGAAGTTCGATAGGCAGCCTTAGTGATGTCGACATAGTGGTGGTATGAAGCGCGAGGACCTTCACCTCGAATGCTGGAGATGACGTCCCATGAACCACGACTCTTGAGAATTGCGGGACAGGTAGTACGACGCAAGCGATAATACGGGTGGAGTTGGGGATGTGCAGATACAAGTCGGGTGGTGGGCTCAGATCTGCGGTTCATGCACGGGACCGCGAGGTGGCTGGTCTGTCAACAGAGGCCCAGCCCGCAACGCCCTCGACCCTGGCCAAAAGCCTACGACTAAGTTGCGCAACGCGCTATTCTAGCGCTTGTATTTCGGTGCGAGGCGTCCATCGGTCCAATCAGTATTGCATGCCACGATCGGGAGCCGTTCCGAACGCGTCTGGGCCTGATTTGCCCTGATTTACGCACGCCAAGCTGGTTAGTAAACAGGGTCGTTCGGGGCAACGGCTTTTCGTGGCGTGCGCGCATCATAGCATGTGAAGAT